TTGGAAGCCCAGCTCATGCCACATCCAATCGCCCGCCCTTCGTATCCCCCATCAGCTCTATCTGAGAGTTCAGCTCATGGTGGCTCGATGCCGAACTTCTCCTTCTGTGCCTCGACTTCGGCGATGTATTCGGTCATGGCCTCACACGAAAACAATCCTCCCGACGAATGGACAAGGACCGAATTGGTTGCTGAAGACCTACGGCGATGGCCATAACGTTATATTGGAATATATTCTATGTACTTTGTTTCTGTTTTGAGCAGGTGCACATGAAAAACAGTACTTATTTTTCTGGAAGCAGGGGATGAAGAAAGCCGGACTACGGCTCAAGTTCTGTGATCCAAGCGCCCAACGGTTTCTTTTGATTTGCCTTTGCACTTCTCCCACGCCTCAAGAGCGCTCCACAGGCGGGGGAGTAAGCCCAAGCCTATGGGTGTTCAATGGCTTTGCAGGACACTAGATCACAATCTCTAGGTCCGGTCCATGTCTTGAGCCACACCCACAAAAATGGCCCGTAAAGCAACACAACTGCAATTTGACACCTCAAATGTGCTATCTACCCAGCATGGGGTCCGACTTGCACCCAACTCCTGGTCCTGCACAATAACAGCACATGTTTCACATGGTCAACCCCGCCTCCCACTTGGCTTTGGTCTCCCATTGGACGGACCAAGGTTCGCCAGTGGTGTTGTCACCTTCCTTCGCCTAGAGCACGATTTTCACCCAAAAGCCGAGTGCAATACGTTGTTCTTTCCCCAGGTTCATGAGAAGGTAGACCAAACACCGACGCCGAAGGTAATCAGAATCAGCCAGTGAAAAGCCAAGTTTGTGACTCCCAGAAAAGTCAACCCAAATAAATGACTTTGGCTGACCGGCCCACTCTTTAAGACACACACACACACACACGATTATATAATCACATGTTCTACATGCACGTGGTTTCACACACCGTTTCTCTCATTGAAGCACTGTACCTTCACCTTTTTCATCATCTCAGGATATCGCGAGAGTTGCAGATCCTATTGGGACCGTATTAGTAGTGATGTATCCTGCCTTCAGTGCCTCGCTTTTGCTCGCATAACCATTTCCAAGCCCCAATGGTAATCACCAAAATAGGAAGCTGGAAGCTTCAGCCGGGTAGGAATACCACCCCAAAGAATGTCAATTTGGCGCTGCTAAATGTTCAAACGGTCCAATACTCGCAGCTCAAACCTCCCGACAACGCCCAACCACTCGCCCAACCTGCTTGTAGAGGCCATAAAGCTTAAGCTTGTCCTGGGCTTCATGGCTTCATGAGCCGTTTTCTTGGCGTCAACGGAAAAACCAGCCGTGTGGTGGGACGAGTCAACGGAAATTTTCAGAAAGCAAGACTCAAGACCACAAGAAGAGAGAGAGAGAGAGAGAGAGGAGAGAGAGACGGAGATGCCCTTGATCGCCCTTGGCACAAAGCTTCGTGCCAAGCTTCGTCGGTGCTCGCCGATCCCTTTGTGGGCGTGCCTTTGGCAATCAGGTTGGCCGCCGCCTCGAATTTGGCCTCCAGGTCCTTTCCCACCAGCCATTGAAAAAACAATCTCAGCGTTTGCCAAACTGAAGTGGCATTCTGGCCTCAAGCATAAGTAATTAGGTATTTACATACATTTACGATTGGATGGTCGGTTTCACACTACAGTTGCGAAGCAAATGGCATCAGTTCCGACACTGGCGAAGGTTCAATGAGTGACTCAGTGGATGGTTGGACTCTTGCCCTCTATGCAACATATTTAGCAAATGCAACGTGCAAGTAGCTTGATGCCTGTTGTGGCATCTAGCTGGGCCTAGCATGTTGAAGCCTATCAACCCATCGATGTTCGTCCGCACATCCAAACACCATCGGGAAGGCATGGTCCAGTTGGTCCCACCTTTGATTCGTAACAGACGAATTTGAACTATGTAATTGGTGTGCTTGCATGTGCTTGCTCCACACACTCTGGAGGAACATGCCAAGCAATTTTGTTGAGGAGAAGGGTTCTCTCAACACAGAATATTTCTATCTATATTCTATTGTATTCTCATACTTCGTCAAAGCTAGAGATAGAAACAATATTTAAAGTAAACTGCCAAGTGGGAGGTATTTTTGAAGCCCGACTAACTGCAGCCGCCAGCCCTGCCATCAGCCGCGCTCCCCACCCAGTCCGACATCTCAGCACAATGGCACTTCAGCCAGCAGTCTGTAAGTTCTGCTATGTGGAGCAAAAGAGCTACGCCAAGGGCACAAACGTAACGAAAACACACGAAAACACCTGCGATGCGATGGATGGATGGGCACCTGCGGGTCACCTGTCAAAGAGCGGGAGTCATGAACGCTGTTTTGACCTGGTCAGCCCCCTTTTGAAGGCCAGGAGCCCCTAGTAGCTTCCCTAGTAGCTTCTGGGTGATTTCCAACGAAGCTGCACTTATCATGCAAAATGCCTTTTGGTAGTACCAAGAAGCTACTAGTAACAGGTGCATCGCTAGTAGTAACAGGTGCCTTACTAGTAGTAACAAGAACGCTACGATTCCCTTTTTCTGCCTCGGCTCCGAAGCGGGGACTCCGCGCAATCGTTGGCTGCGGAGAGGCTCGCGCCGAGCGGCAACGGCCGCTATAGCGCGTGGCACAGATCAACGAGCTGCCGAGACGTGGCAAGACAGAGAAGAACAAAGAACCACCTTTGGACATCAAGATTGCATGATGAAGGAGCACCACAACACTCTAAAGAACCAAAAGGGGGCTCCAAGTTCCAAGCATGTCATGTTCCTGACACATCACTGTAGCCTGCCACATCGCAGCTGTCGACTACTGCATGACCGCAATGGCTTGTGCCCAGCTGTCTATTAATTAGGCCTTTTCCTTTCGAACAAGGCAAACCACCCCAGCAACCACGGCACCGTAGATCCCTTATTACGACCTTGTTCACTCATTCTTATCCGTGCAGCTGTTCGATTGGGGTTCAAACGGGTTCATCATGGAAAAAATCCAAAGGCTTCAAAAGGAGCAACATGGAGCAACCATCGCCATATGTAGACAGAATCCTTTACGCGTGACCGGAAGGATCAAGAAGAGATTTCACAACCACACTATTAACCTCTCCCAGAAAACACACAACACACAACACACCACGTGCATTGAATCTATAGACAGGATGCCATTTCAAGGTTGCCTCCCTTCTTCAGGAAAAATGCATCATTGCAAATTACAGTCATTCAGAGTTTCCGCATCAATTACACCCACCACCCGCTGGCGAACTCCAGGGTTACGCCCTCGCTGGGATGGGAAGCAAAGAAGCTGGGGGAAGCTCATGGAAGCAAGAACCATTTCAATGACACAATATAACTGGAGATTTGACGATTTGAAAGTCTAAAGTCATAACATTTGTCCCCCTGATCAGCTAATCCCATCCATGCCTGCTTTTTGGGCACCAACTGGACGAGTTCCGCTTGGGTCCCCTCAAACCCGGTGGACACCCCTCACTTCTCCACCTGAAGAGGGGCCAGGTGACTCAACAGCACCCAAAGGGGAGCAAAAGGGTCAAGCCACGTGGTTGACTTGGGAGAATAGTGGAACTATCTGGAACGGGTCGAATGGAGGAATAAAGCAGCGCATCTGGCCCTATCTGGAATCAAGTCTATGAGTACTACGACCCAGGAAGTCAAATACCATGACGATGCACTTACCTGAGGCATACTGCAACAGAGCCTTTGCAAGCCCAAGCTTTGCAAGTGTTGCCCGTGCCGCCTGTTCTCCGGGTCCCAAGCCTGTTTCGACCCTGGACTTCAACATCACAAGATCATCCACCCGTCCCCCCAGCATTTTGGAGCATTGGAAGCCCAGCTCATGCCACATCCAATCGCCCGCCCTTCGTATCC